TTCAAAATGTATTGTGGTGCTATGTATAAAAAGGTACCATGCATGTCGTTCTGGACCAAAGTGGGTTCTGTTGTTTCATCAGTCTGACAAAGAAAAATGAAGGATAACCTTCAGTTTGCCAAAATCCAGCATCATCTCGAGGGAGACCAGTTGCTCGATGACTTTCATTTTTTTGACCCCCTCGTTGCACTCAATCACGATCTGGCTCGAACAAAAATAAAGGATGAAATGAGCTGTGAATTTATTTTCATTTAATTGCACGGAATTAAAGAAACTGTACCCCGTGTATGGCCTCCTTTGCTTTGTGAAGATAGGACACGTCCTCTGAATCCACTTCAGTCAGTTTTAGGATATTCTAAGAAAAAATAGACACCCAGATTTATTAGGTACACAATCTAACGGTAATTAATTTTAAAAATAGTTTCAAAGTACTGCACACCATCATCAGTTTACAATTTAGAGCACACATGATGCAAAAGCTCTCTTGGAATCATGTTGATTGAATTAAATTGCATTTTCACATAGTTCAATTTTTTTGCAATGTAAAGGCTGTCTTGAATAAAGATGTTACAAGTGAACACATGTCAAAAGCAAATTACCTCCAGAATGAGCTTAATACGAGTGATTCTTTGGAAAGGAAGGACAAGGAAGGACTTAAGACGCTGCCTCTGGCACACCGGCTCGCCCTCGAGCTGCTCGAGACATGACACGAAGTCACGGTTTTGCTGCCTTGAGATGGAAGAAGAGCGATGAGGGCGAGAGCACATGGAATCAGCGGCAAAACACGGCACACTCACAACAGCTGGTTGATAAGTGCCTCCTGGTACATCATGTTGGTAATGTAGGGCACGTAGTGGGTGCGGAAGGCGGGGCAGTGGTCAAGTACAATGTCCCCAAGCTGGGATAAAAACACGCTCTTGCCCAGGCGGCTCTCCAGGTCCATGAGAAACCTCAAATAAGAATATATTTTAAAAGGGGCAGCACAGATCGGCTCCATTTTACCCGTAAGGACAAACAGTCTTTAAACATGCAGTATAAGAAGGTGTAAAGTA